CCGACCCCCCCCGGGCTCCTCTGGCTTCTCCTCTCGCCCCCGCCAGGATTCACCACCCCCCAAAAAAAAGAAGAGTGGTTGCTCAGGAGAGCAGGGAATTCCGGGTCAAACCCCCGGGCTGGGATGTGGCTCCCGGGGGCAGAAGTTTACAATGAAGGGCTCATTGGCCACCAAAGGTGCCAGGGCTGGGGGCACAGCAAGAAATGAGGGAAACGCAGGGTTTCCTCCCCTCACTGCTCGTCTCTTTGCAGCCTGAGACACAGGAAGCCCCGCAGGAACAGGGTACTGATGGTTGCACAGCACACGGGGTGCAGCCTCCAGCCCTGCAGGCACCAAGAAAAGAGGTTTTTTTTCTTTGTTTTGTTCTCCATCGAGCTTTGCATCACCACATTGCTGCTGCCTCCTGCCTGGCTGCCCCACACCTCGGGTAAAAGGGGTTGAATTGTCTGGGAGCAGTTTCACCTCCAACAAACTCCTGCTCAGAACCTCACACACCAAATCCTCCCGGTGCATTCAGGGCATCACCCAAACAATGCAGGATTCCCAAGAAACAGGCCAATCAACTGGCAGGTTGTGACTTACTGTGAATGCCTGATGGGACATGGAAAAACCAGAGAACTGCCTTGAAGAACAACGTGTTACAGACACACCAAGGCAGGGGGAAGCCAGTGATCAAACACTTGATCTGCCTCTGAGTCAGTGGCCTCGTGTTCCTTGAGCAGCTGGAAACCCCTGGGGACGTGGGTCCTGCAGGGGGGCAGGACTGGCTTGGCTTTTGTTGGGTTTTTTTAAACCTGAGGTGGAACTGCTCACTCACTGAAGGGAGGGATCACAAACATCATTAACGTTTAGGAGAACCACACAAATGTTGCTCATTATTTCTCTGTAAATTCGATGTGCTGGGAGGGGCCCAGTGAGCACAGCCTGGAGAAGTGCCAAATGCAGCCTTTCTTAACAGCAAAACAGAGACTTTTCAGGTGTGGGCAGGACATCATCCCTTCTCCCAGGAGCCACCTCTGATACTGACAACACTCCTGTGATTCTGGAGAAGACTCAATATTCATTTTGACCAGGGTTAGTGATCTCCCAATGATAACACTCCCACCAGGGCAGCCCAGTCAGAACGTGGTTTCACTTACCTAGAAAACAGCTACTGACCCAGCAGGACTGCTCAGGGACTAACACACCTGCTCCTGCTGACCTGCAGCTCACACAGGAGGCACGACATGAAACCTGGGACTATTTCTGAATTCTAGTATCCAGCTGAACTGGCCTTGTTAGGAAGAAATTTAAATCCCCCTACAGATACTCACACCGTGCAGAATTCTAGTGCAACGTGCTTAAATATTTAAGGTTTCTTGTGCTTCCAGTATCAGACTGACTGTAAAGAACTGAACGTGAAGCAACGAAGTAAACACAATATCTATATTTTATGTTGTGCCATTTTACACTGAGACACTGTAGCTCTCTTTTTTTTGTACATTTAGGACAGCATTCTCCTAGCAATCACCTCTTTGCTCCTAGAGTGAGAATCAAAGACAGAGCACTGAGGTGCTGAGCAGCTTCACACTCCATAATGAATGAACACTCTAATGGCACCACAGCCCATCCCAGTCACCTGATGTTTTATTGATTCTCACAGCATCATCTTTGAGATGTAAATGTTCAGTTATTTGCATTCCAGAACAACTTGTAAAGAGACTAAGAGATCAGCAGCAATATAAACAATTGATGGTGTAAGAGGAGTATCAATATCAAGATCCTATCAAAGGCGTTTAAGTTGTACCTGGGAAAGAGCCTGAGCAAGGGATGGAAGGGAACAGCCAAGGAATGGAAGAAGAGACTTCCTTAATGCCATGAAGCTCCTGGAATGGGAGGGTGGGGAGAAGCTACAGCAATTCCCCTCTGGGATGCTCAGTATTGAGGGGTTTGTGGAAGAAATGCTGTCCTGGCTCCCTGTGTCCCAGCTCCGTGGGCAGGAGGGCAGGGAGGAGTGGGAACGGGATGGAGAAACTGCTGGAATATGGCTGTGAATATTGGATGTGCTCTGGGATCTGAAAGAGAGATCATGCCTTGGATGTAGAAGAGGCTCCAGACTTCCATATTCTGTGGGCAAAACCATCAAATTTCTCTTTTTAGGGTAAGCAGAGCAGAGCTCCCTGCTGCAGCTGCACCCCCGCTGAGCTGCTCTCCTGCCTGCAAACAGGAGTCCTGCTAAGAAGCTGCTGCTCTGGGGACAGGAGGCATTTCACCTGAGCCAGACACCCCCACTGGGGCAGAAAACCTGTCTGCTCTCTCTCCATCAACTGGCAAGAAGGCTGGACACCAGGACAGCCCCTGGGACACCAGGACAGCCCCTGGGATACTGGTGCTGCAGATACCAAAGTGGGTTTGATTTCCCTCTCCTCATGGACTCCCAGGGCATCACTCCCCTCTGATTTCTCTCTTGCACTTTGTTAATACATTTTAAAAGTCTAATCTTTAGTAATGCAAAAGTTTAACCTCTGAACATTTCATTTTGGTTCAAAATAATCCCATCTACACCACGGGGAACAGCCAAGGCCACTTGGACAACCAAACCAGAGGCAATTCTTTAGTGATTCACCTGATTCATGTGATACAGAAACGCTACCTCAGAGCTCCCAACCAAAGCCCCAGGCATCATGTCCTGACACTTCTGCACCATGGACACTCTGTACCTGACCAGCACCATGAAGCTGGGGGAACAGGGTCTGTCTTTGCCCCAGCACACACACCACATCCTCTGCCAGGCAGCACTTTTCACTGCTTGTGGTCGAGAGCTGGCAGAGCTGAAGAGGCTGAGCTGAGGGCAGGAATGGCTGCAGGGCTGTGATTGCAGGGGCTGAGCTCCTGCAGCAGGGAAGAGGTGGCTCCACATCTGTCAGACACACACACAAACCCTCAGCTCTCAAGGCTGGGTCCAGCAGCTGCTGCTTTCAAAGAGGACCTACTAAATGTGCTCTTCTCTAGCACCTCGTAGCACATACAACTGCAACACTTGATTCCTAAATGTGTCATCTGCCAGAGTTCTAGGAAGGGTTTACAGTTCAAATTAAACAAACATGGTAAACTGACCAACCTTCTGTGCACCCACAGCCTAAAGCAGAGGATCACTGCCATGGATTTAAGGTCTACAGGGCTGAGTTGTCCTATTAATTTGAGGTAACTTGTCCTTTCTTAAAAAAAAACACCACAAATAAGATTGCCAAGTCATTTTTCAGATACCAGAGTAACTTCCCAGCACTAACAGAGGGCAGGCCTGGCACAGGGCTTCTCATCCACAAACTGCTTTGAAGAGTTTGCTGCACCACACATCACTGCACATGCCTTTGTGTCATGCTATCCATATTTCATAGATCCTGGGAAGTGACCTTCATAAAATGCACATGAGGTTTCCCCATGGGAAACAGTTTCTCCTCCTTTGTTGAAAAGCTCTGAATTGTGTTGTTACTCCTTTCACAGACATGCTGAAAACCACAGCCATGACCCAGGATAAACTTCCTAATCGCTCTCTTAGCATAATCAGATCCATAAAAAGACAAAATAGAACTTATTTTTCAGAATTCACTCTTGACTTTACCTCCTGCTTCTTCACCAGACTGACTGTGCTCCTTCACATCTTCCATGTTATCCAGGCTTTCCATTTCCTGGGCCTTGCTCAGGCTGAGGTCTGCCAGAGCCTCCTGCCCTTCTGAAAAACACACAAACCACACAACTCTAGTTACCATCCTGTGCTCCCAGAGGATTTCCAGGTGACAACCTCAAAGTATCTGCAGCTCCCAGCGCTGCTCCCGATGCCCACAATGGTTTTCCCAGGGATGCAGCAGCTGCAGTTTGCTTGGATGGATTTGCTTCCCAAACTCACACACAAACCTCCTCGTGGAACACAAAACTTCACGAACATTTAAGCTCTTCCTCACACTAAACTAGTCTGGAGGTTGTTCTGGGTGACAACAGGAACACAACCTAGTGCATGTAACTCCAGATGTCACCTGTACCCCGGGCTGGTGCTGGCAGGTGGGCAGCCAAGCTCTCCAGAACATGCAAGAGGAATCGTAGCTCTACTTGGTTCATTTGGGCAAAATATTAATCATTCTGGCCCCAGGCCAGGAAGCTGCTCAAGCACATTTCATCAGAAACCTCTTTGAACCCAGTGGCACCTCCGTGCTCATTTCACATGTGCCCTCTGAAGCAGCAGCAGCACCAGAAGCTTCTGCCGAGGGCTGGAGCAGCAGCAGGTCCTGGGAACTGTAGTGACATTTATTGGGGTGAAGCTTTTTAAAGAAAACATCATAGAGACTGACTCTGATCTCACACAGATTTCTGTGCATTTCAGTTCAGCATTTTGGTTAGAAACTTAGGAGTGTTTCCTTTGGACAATCCTGTGCATCTGAAAGTTCGTAGCAACGTTGTGGAATTGCTGCTAAAATCTGAAACAAGTTTCAGTTTTTGATTAGCAAGAAAATTAAACACTTGTCAATCTCACACCAGAGGGTTGTTTTCATATTTTCAGAAACGCAGTCAACCAGAACAATCATATTATTCTTGCTTCCCTGAAACTTCCAGCTTTCTCCTGAAAGCATTTCCCTCCCTACTTGAGTCTTTTCCCCCCTTTAGCACCATTTCCCAGCATTAGATTGAACTTTGACAGTTTTATTCAAATTCTAGATTGTACTTTTTGCCTTTCATGCCTGTCTTTATATTTGGGACTCTGCTGTTCCATGTCCTGGGAACCCAACCCAGCTGCAATTCAGGTATTTTTCTCCATTTCAATTTAAAATGTTCAAGAGAGGGTGAGGAGCAACTTGCCCAGCACGGTACCTGCAGCCATGGGCTCTTCCTGAGAACTCCTGAGGTCCATCCCTGCCTGGGAACCTGCAAAAGACAGAACAGCAGTTGGACTTGCTGAGTATTTAGAACCACTCACGATGCCTTTTCCACCATCTCAGAAATTCCCATTTTCTTGGCTGAAAGCAAAATTGAAAAAGCAACATTTCCAAAGAAAAAACCATCAGGTCATTGTCACGTCTCCTTGTGCAGCCTCTTTCTGCCCCAGGTGCTGCCATGGGCACAGAAGAGAGATTGAGCCTTATTTTCTAGCTTCCAAAAATTCTAGAGCAGAATGATTTGGCTGCAGCAGCTCCCTGAGCAGCCTGGGAGCTCAGCCCTGCCCCCCTGGGAAGGGCTTTTCTCTCCAGCCCAAACTACAAGGTATTTTCACACTCCTTTTCCAATACAAAGGAAAACCCCTTCTCTTTGAGACCTGCTCTGTTCTCACGGGAACACAAGGTTAGTTCCCATGGAGAAATTCTGACTGGGATCACACCAGGGATTTATATATATATATATATATTTTGTAAGAGTTGAGACCTCCCTGTGCGGGTGCCCAGAGGTGCTGAGCACCCAGCAGGGCTGCTCTGGAGACACCCTGAGCTGCAGGTGTTTCCACCTCCCACTCCAGGCAGCAGCTCCCTGAGCAGCCTGGGAGCTCAGCCCTGCCCCCCTGGGAAGGGCTTTTCTCTCCAGCCCAAACTACAAGGTATTTTCACACTCCTTTTCCAATACAAAGGAAAACCCCTTCTCTTTGAGACCTGCTCTGTTCTCACGGGAACACAAGGTTAGTTCCCATGGAGAAATTCTGACTGGGATCACACCAGGGATTTATATATATATATATATTTTGTAAGAGTTGAGACCTCCCTGTGCAGGTTCCCAGAGGTGCTGAGCACCCAGCAGGGCTGCTCTGGAGACACCCTGAGCTGCAGGTGTTTCCACCTCCCACTCCAGTGCCCAAATTCAGCTGGAGACACAGACCTGACCTGTCCAGATAAACCTCTACCCAGTCCTGCTGCTGTCAGAGCTCCCTGACATGAGGGTTCAAGTACCTGCTTCCTTCCTCTTTCCTTTCCTCTTGCTTCTTTCTCCTTTTTACATAAGAGAAAAACTTTTATCATCTTTAAACATAAAAAAAAAATAATAGCTCCAGGACTCATAAAATTAATTCCTGGCAGTTACATAAGAGGAAGACTCATGCAGTGGCCATGAGGTGTTAACCACCAGTGACATTTACCCCATCATTAGCTGCCTTTACCACCACTGCACATGGAACATTTTTGTGGTCTCTGCAATGTCAAAATACAAAAGCTCTGTTAACTGAGCAGCCCAAGCAGCAGAAACTGCCCCAAACCCTGCCCAGGCAGGGGATGGGCTGATGCCCAAAGACAAACTCAAAGAAAAAAAAAAAGAGCAGAACTACCCAACAAAGGCTTTTGCACTGGTTGGCTCTGTTGTTTCCTAGACAAAAGCACCCAGCTCCCCTTTCTCAATCATGGGTCTAATGAGGGGTGTGGCTCCTGGCTGGAAGGCTGTGAAGATATTAGCACTTGGGAAACACATCCTAAAATTAAACCAGAGCTCCTGCCCTTTCTTGCAAGTTTAGCACTAATGCAAACTTTTCATTAGGTGTCTTTTATTAGAGCCAGGAGTGTTCCCTGTGTCACACAGACACTCGTGGGATTAAGTGACAAAAGTTCAAATATTTACCAAACTTGTATCTTTTAAATTAAATAAATAAGATCAATGAACTCCATCGTTGGAGCTCTTAATTTGTCTTTGTTTCATTTTATCATGGCAGGGCAAGTGAGGTGCAAAGCAGCAAATGCACCAAGTTATACAGCAAACAGTGATGGGGAAACATCAGTAAATACAAGGTACATGAGCAAAATTCACTCTAGCATTGATTTTAATCTTATATTGCAATAAGAGAGATAGCTAAACGACACAAACCTGGGTAGTTGTGCAAATAATTAAGGTCTGGGCAAGACAATGAAATCCCCACTATTCTGTAATAACTTGAATTAGATTTCAATTGCATTAGAAATCCTGGGCAGTTGCTTCATTGGGGGGTAAAGAGCTGGTCAGGGCCCCAGGGTTAAGCAAAAAGGGTCCCTGGGGGGGTGGGGGGGAAGAGGTGGGAACTGGAAACTGCAGCAATTGTGTCACCCTGGGGGTGCCAGGAGGTCTTGAAACAAAACTCTGGAGTCCCTGCTTCAAAGCAGGTGATTCTGCATCTATGTCTGTATAACTCACGTTGTTTTAGAACCCCCAGGACAGCTCCCAGGCAGTCACTGCTCTGAGGACACAGGTTATGGGTGGCAGCAGCTCGGGGTGCTGCAGTGTGACCCCCCAGGGCTGCCCCCTGCCCAGCTGAACCACAGGGAACCCCCCAGAGCCCAGCACAGCCAGGGCCACGTGGCAGCCCAGCCCAACCAGTCCCCAACACTCATCAGTGACTTCTGAGATCAGCCCTGTGCATGTGTTGACACCTGGTTGAGCACAACAGGTTCCTGCCCACGCTGGGCAGATGGACTGGCCAGTGCTCCTGAAGGGAAGCACAACACACTGTGAATCCTTCTTCTTCTCTGCTGACAAACATCCCAGTCTCTGTAGCCCTTTCAGGCCTCCAACATCCACACACCAGTACCTGGTTGCTTTATGCTATCAAGTCTCAAGCAGCTTCTTACACCCTTAGTGGTCTCCACATCTAACCTTGGGTTTCTTTCCCAAGTGTTTTAAACCAGATCCTTCACTGTGGCACCTAAGTGTGCCAGGAGGAGGCCTGGGAAGCTTCCTCCCCACTGCTGTACAAAGAAAAGCAAGTTTCTACCTAAGGCTCAGAAAAGCACAAGGTGGGGAAATCACTTACAGAGCACGTTATCTTCCCAAGCTTCAGAGATCCAGGGTCTGAGGTGCATGGAAGGGAGGCTGGTCCCGTGTGTTGGGGCTGACACACACAAAGCAGAAGTAAAATTCATGTGCTGCTGAAACCAACCAATCCTTTGGTTCTACACCAACAGCCAAGTGAGCAAAGGTATTTGAATATCTTGCTAAAAAAGTGCCTGGCATCGTGACCCAGCACAGGCTGCTCCAGCCTGCTGGGTGACCAGTTAACAACACAGCAACTACCTGGGGTTTTAACCCCCCAGAATGGATGTTTGGCAAATAAACAATAACACTAATTCCCTTCTCTCACCAGTGCAGCTGTAGCCAGCAAAACAGGAGGCACATCTTGAATTATTACCATCTTACCTGCTTGCCTCCAAAGTGAAAGCAGAAAATTGACTTTTCACTGCAGCTGCAGCTCCCAACCCACCCGTGACGGGGACACCTCTGGAAATCCCACAGGCTCAGCCACAGCACGTGGAGCTGCTTCCCTTGGCTTTGCACCATCTTAAGAGGCATCATCCCAAATGAACCACACACCAACCTGGGCCCCTGCCCCACAGGCAGCCCCCCAACCTTGCTCCCAAGTGCTCCCAGCACACCCAGTGCCTTTGCACTCTGCAGCAGCCAACGTTTCACCCCAGCACGTTTTTCACCTTCAACCTGCACTGAACCATTCGACAGAGAAGGTCTGTCTGGTTTCCCCTCTGACCAACCCTCTCCATGGCTTTCTCCAGAAGGTCCCTGGACCAAACAAACTCTTTACAGGGTCTCCAGCACTTGGCTGCTCTTAAGCACCAGGTAAAGCTTGAAATGAAATATGGGCCCTTTAAGTGCACGTGTCATTTTGGGAAGGAACCCTGAGCAGCCAAGGAGAACACTTTTCTCCTGTGACCTTTTGAAAAGAGCAGAATCTCTTCTACTCCTTCCACACGTCCATCCCAGCACAGCCAGTGGAAATGACAGTGGGAGGGCAGTTCTTGAGATCTTTGCAGAGCCAAACCAGTCAGAAGATGCAACCAAGCAGATTTGGGCTGCTCTGCCCCAGGTCTCCAACTGCTGCCAGTGTCTGTCTGTGGTCAGTGACCAGGCTGAGCACAGAAATCAAGGACAGAAGGGTCACCCCTTTGTCCTCAGGGACAAATCTCCCCTTGACTCCAGTGGAACCAAGATTTTCCCAACACCCATGACAGTCAGCACTCACTGGATCCAGAGGGAACAGGTGACCCCTATTCCATTAACTTCATCCCAAACACAAACAGCTCAGACACAGTAACTGATCCTCAGAAACCCCATCAACAGCACTAGGAGTTCACATGCAAATAATCCTCCAGGCTTAAGTGTACAAGGAACAAGAACAGAAAAATGAGAGTTCTCAAATAATCTCAGCTGTAAGGGCAGAAGAGCCCTCATTTTCTAATCAGAGACTAAAATCTCTAGGACACCTAAAGACCTTTCCTCCCCCCCAGGAGACCCAAGGGACCCAAGAAGAGGATCCTGTGCTGAAGTGCTGACCTGTCACCAGAGCCACTTTCTGAGCCCACCAGGCCCATCCCCCCGCAGGGAGAGGCCCCAGGCAGGTTCTCTTGAAGCAACTATTTAAATACAAACATTTATAAGCCTTTAGCAAAGGAGAACAGACTGAAAAAAAAAAAAAAAGACCAACCCAGCAAACAAACCAACTGCAGGTAACTTAAAATAACCAGAAACCTCAAGTCATGAAGAGCAGAATCTTAACTCAGCCCTTAGAACGGTGAGTTAAGGCAGAACGAACATCCACCTCGGACAGAGCAAAGGGATGCCCTCCCGGGCTGCGCAGGGACGCGGCAGTTCTGCTGTTCCCCGCACACGCGTGACCCGGGGGCTCAGCACCAGCTCAGCACCAGCCCAGCACCAGCTCAGCACCAGCTCAGCCTTCCCGGCTCCCACAGCCACGCGCGTGTCCCGAGAACCCAACGCGCCCCTGAGGCGCTGGGGCCGAACAGCGGGGAGAGCGGGTGGGGAACCCGAACTGCAGCACCCGCGTCCGGTGCTCGGGAGAAACGGAGGGAAGGGGGGGAAGGGGAAAAGCCCCGCGGGTTCCCCGCGGATCGGGGAGCTCGGGGCAGGGTCCCCCGGGGGGGCATTTCTCACCTTCCA